TCCCCGCTTGCTCATTGCAGGGCTTTCCTCACTGCATGTGTCAGAGGATCATCTTCCTGAGCTTCTTGTCCAAAGTCCAACTTCCTTTCAGAAAGGGCTGCATAACCGGGGCTACCTGCCTCCCAGCAGTCTTTCTTTGAATTCTCCCTGCTTGTCTTCCTGCACTCCTGAAAACCTGTTCTTAACCCTTGCTCAACCTCCTTCTCATTGCTCATACTATAGCACTCCCTCCAATCCCACTTTTAATCCAGGTGTCCTGTTCCTGCAGGAAATAAACAGCAGTCTCTGCTCTCACCAACAGCTTTCACATCTTCGGTGGATCTGGGCCCCTGCTAAGCTGTACAATAATGGAGAGCTTTTTAACAGACTTGCCACTTCAGTAACCCCATCAGGTGTTGCTGGCCCAGAATTCTTCACTCCATGTAAAATTTCCCAGTATGCACTTTCAAAGTCAAAGGGAAAAGTTCATGTTGTATGAATAGTATAAAATATTTTTGGTATTTCGTATTTCTTCTAGCCTAATCCGGAATGCTCATGGCATCAGCAATGGTAAACCAAATCTGCATCGTTATGGTCTGTCGGTCTCCATGTGTGGCACTTACTCCGTTTTCCTTCCTCCTCCATGTGCTCTCTTCCTCACCACACTACATACCCAGCTGTCATTCACACACATACACTTCCAACAACGCAGAAGGTTTTTCTAAAAATAACAGGTCTTTGTGACATCCCCAGATATATTAACCTTATTAACCAAAGAGCTTAGGATTGGTGGAAAAACAGTGCTTTGGCTTTGCCCCCTTTACTCACTCTCCTCTAAGCATCAACAGCTAATAAGCTGACAGGTTTAGCAAAGATGGATGAAAAACAAAACTTTTGGGAAGTTTTTAGGAAGATGGTGGTAGAAACAGAATTAAGGAAAGGAACATGGACTTTAATGATAAAAAGTCCATTTTTAGGATCAAAATATTCTTCCATCCAACACACAGTCTTATCCGTAAGTCTGGCAAGCACTGCTTTTTTGCAGCCAGACTCCTCACTTTCACAGAAAAGTGCTCCATTTATACCCCCTGAAGTAATACAGGCCCAGAAGCTAGGAAAATAGGTAGAGTGATTACCATCTCTCAGAGCACGTTATGTGTGTTCAATCATTTCTGTGTATCTCCAACACATAAACTTATTAAATTATATACTTCAAGTACAAATTGGCAATTGGCTAAAAAGAACAAAATCAGACAACAGACACCTCCCCAACAGCAATAGTTCAGTTCCATTTTCACTTACCTCCAAAAGAAGTTGGAACCCCTCTCTTTTCTTAATTTCTTCCACTAGATATCTGTAATAAAAAATGCATGGTCTTAAAGCATAGAACAAAACAATACCTACAGACAATAACAAAAAAGGTCTTGAACATGTATACACTTTTTTTTCCTTCTTTCTTTTTCTTTTTTTTTTCCCCTAAAGAAACCACAGAGTTAAATCTCATTTCTACCTGCTGTGAAAATGCAGTAGCTATCAGTTCCTGGAAACAAATGAAGGCTACAGCCAGCCAAGGAGCACTGAGGAGAGGCCAAATTCTGTCCTCAGGCACAGATATTCAGTGGAGCCACATGGCACAAATTGATCCTATTTGTATCAGGCTGTGAACTTTCCCAATGCAAATTTCCATTGATGTTACTCTCTACAAATTAATTCCCCCATCTCTTTTTCTCAAGTGCTGATGCTGTGCTGCCATGTTATTTCATGGTCACCCTGACATCTCTTGCACTACTATTGTCACCAGGACCTCTTAGTTTAGCCCAGAATTTAAAAGTTTCCACATACTTCAAGCCCTGCAATTTTCCCAGTACTGTCCTTGTTCCCCACTGTACACAACAGTGCACGTTTCCATTCAGTGAGCCACTGCTGACACACAATAATCCCTGGGCACCCTATGCTAACAATGCATTGGAATCAGTACTTCTTTTCTCTTTCACCTGTCAGTATGAAAAACACTGAAGCCTTCAATAGGAAGATGGGTTTAAATCAAAACTTCGGGTCCAAACAGCTTCAATTTATAGCAATTTTTTAAAACATGACCTCAACTTTGCCATGGCACACATCACACACGAATTCTGAAGCAAGGAGGACGCTTTGACATAGCTGAGACTTCTCTCTTTATCTGCGCACCCCCCCTGCCAAAGCCTTCCCAAGGAAAACTCCAGAGAAATCACCTCAAATTCACACAGCTTTTCTATTTCAACAGAATTTTAGTCTTCTACATGAAGATTTTGCTGTCTAACAGTAATAAAACTGAGACAGTTAAACTACTGATTCTGTACAAATCTGTTATTTTGTTGCATTTATTTGGCATTTTCCTGCCTGCAGCTGCGTTACTGGTCATCACACAAATAATTTTTTTATCTACTACTTGAGGAAGAAAAGTATTGTCAAAATAACCTCCCTTGGCCCTATCCATATGCCTGAAACCTGCCCCACAGGGACATCTCTAGCACAGTGGTATTCCGCAACGCCTGCTATGTGCTGCAGAAACAGGTTGGCTAGGGAGGCAGTAAACAATACCCTAGGTGGTATACATTTTTCAGAAGAGCACATGGGGAGTTGTCACGCTGTTTATCATTAACAAGTATTGTGCGTGTGACTGATTACCTCTTAGCACACATCCCTGCAAAATGATTGCTGTGGTAGAGGGCCAGTTCCCACAACACGCAGCTCTATGAGTTGTGCCACATTGTGCAGTGCTGAGATGTGTCCTCCCACTACAAGTCAAGGTTCTGGGTCTTTTCTGCCATGACCATTTAGATCCTACTGTGTGCATTTGTTTGTTACCTGGCTGTCAATGCCCACACTACTGTTTAGGTTGAAAGAGAGGCATGCTGAAAGGTAAGCAGGAGGCTAGATACCATGTGAGTGTGTTGGGGGGAACCTGTTTCTGTAGGGGAATTGTAAGTTAAACAAGCTCAGTGCTTTTGTCCTGTTGATTAGAAGATACTTGTCTGTGCCATAAAACCAACAATCAGCAAAATCAGCAGGCTATTCACAAGACAGTGGCCCTCAATTTATTTTTTTAAATAAATCATGAAAAAGAAATATATATATATGATTTTTTTTTGAGGTCTTCAATTGTTAGAGCTATTTTACGATGCTTAATACCCCTCCCTCTTACCACAAGTGCCTTTTTTTTTTTATACCACCATCTGACATAGGATATCTGATGTCGGTCAAGCTCACAATGCCGTTAATCATGTTTTTAACTACATTGCCAATAGCCTAAGAAGGCAGCCATTAGAAAATCCATCACTGATGATTTATCTTGCCAGGACCATTTGATGGCAGAGGAGCAATTTACTCTGTGCATCTTTCCACAGTTGACAGTGGAGTTTTATTATCGTGTCACAGTTGTAGAACTTCAGAAGGGCTTGACTCTAAGCGAGGACTGGAGTGCACAGAGAAGTGGTATTTGCTATGATTAAGCCTTGAAGAAAATGAGGGGTGGAGATCTGCAGTGAAAGTAGACATATGCCTGCTAAGAGTGGGTGTCAGAAGAACAATTGGGCAGAAAAACTGCAAAGACGCTGAAGCATAAAATGCAGAGGTGGTTACAGTTGTATTCTAAAAGCAGTTTACTTCTGTTTTCTTTTTAGTGTACTTCATAAAGCTACATCCCTGCATTCAAAAATAACTGGGGCAGGGGGGTGGGGAGGCGGGGAAAGGGCAAAAAAATTTCTGAAGTGATCAGCAGGATACTCTACTGAAGGTATTTTTAAAATAAGCCTTTACAAATAGGTAGCATCACAATATTCCTGGGATATCTAATACACTGAAAACATAATTCATCTCCAGACCAAGAAAAATTTAATGGAATAGCCAATAAACAAAGTTTGATGCAACAGGAATACATGCCTGCAACTACCCTAAAACCTTTCCATCTCTGTCTGGCCATGGGGGGAAAAAACAATAATCTTGCTCTTAAGTCCTATAGTGATGGACTAGTAGACTAGTTCCAAAATTAATCCAGGTCTGTGTTCAGGAACACTGAAATACTATCTTTGCAACATCAAAGTAAAACCTACTGTAACAAATCAGGAGCAAGGCTGCACAGCTGTTGGGTAGTTAGGAAACCTGGCATAGCGCCCAGAAAACCTGATGCCTCAGCTGCAAAGTGCCCATGTCCATGCAAACTCAAGATAGCAATGCAGCTACTATAAAGAATATACTTCATCAGATAAAAACTAAGAATTAAATTTCTTGTTAAAGGAGGAAAAAAAAAAAAAGAGACACGCCAGTCACTCCTTAGAAGCACTACCAGCTGAATCCTAACATTCAAAGAAAATATCGATCCCAGAAAGGTCATTAATCACTACACTCTCAGTCAAACGACCTTGGCCAGTGACCTTGATAAGGCTGAGTTCTCCTGCTGATAGTGGAATGAATTACTTACTCTGTGCAGACACAGAACAGCACAATGCTTTGGAACAAAAACAAGGTGCAATTTAACCAGACGATATTAAGGAGCACATAACCAGCCAAACAATGAATGGCTTTGAAGAAATAAGATAGAGAAAAAAGCCACAGCTCATTTGGGCTTTTTTGGTTTTGCTTCTTTCTTTTTATTCCTTTCTAACCCACTCTGTGTTTAGGTCATGGGTGTTTTTACCTCTTCTTTAAGTGACTTCGTTAAAGTGAGACTATTCCTTTAATTTGCACTGGAGTAAACATTCCATTCTTTTCAACTTGGTAGTTCATATCACAAATAAAATGGCAATATGATATGGATGACTGTTTTTCAGTATTAATGATTTGACTGATAGTAGTGTGTAGCTAGCCCACAAATTGGTGAAGATTTCATTGTGGTTTATCTTGCATAAATTCTGAACAAATATGATAGTTCAAATTAATTGTTTTTAATGGGCCATTATCTTATTTCAATAGTATATCTTTTATCAGAAGACAAAACAACCTGTGTATGGAAGTTTCTTCCCTGAAACTGAGACATCACCATCACTTTAGAAACATGTTCTAGCAAGAATTTTGCAGAATTCACTTGTGAAACTCAGTTCTGCAAGACCAAAAACTTAGTAAAATTGAACAGGGTGAGCGAGGGGAAGATTGCAGGAAAAAGGTGCTTCAGTCCCTAACAGAACACAATGTAAGCATTGAGAACTTCAGCAAACTTGTGGAGAAAAAACAAGCAGTATCTCAGAACAATATGCCTTCATATACCTCTACTAAATCCTAACATTAACAGTGTCCTCATACAAATTTCCTCACATCATCAGCTTTCTGCGTTTTGTCAGTCGTGAGGAATGAAGTGAACAGAAGAATGGCTAATTCACTTCTTGCTAGACACAGCTCAGAGCCTGGCACATAGGGCTGCTTTTACGTTAACACCAGAACACACAGTTATGAGTTAGAAGAGGGTGCATTAGTAAACCCATCCTATGTCTGGTTCAGATAACATAAATGTTAATGTAGATGGATAGTCTGATTTGTACTTCTATTTTACCAACAACCAAGCTTATCGCTAAAAGTAATAATTACTATTAAATATTGTAGCAAATGTACTAACACTAATTATTATTGCTATTATACACAAACAAAAGGAGAGGGGGAAAAAAAAGTAACAATGTTGTCTGTTCCAGGATATGGAGTATCAGCAGTGTCAACATTTCAGTCAATTAAACAGACTAGACATATTCAAAATTGTGAGGCAGTACCTAGCCAAAGCCAGTGCCCTGTTTACTCTCTCCTCGAGGCCTGTGGTTCCCAATGCTTTCCACATCAGCCAGAATTTGAACGCATCTGGACGCCTGCTGCACTGAATGGACTTGTCACCAGTGTCATAGCTGACATCGTAGAACTTGTCCTGCTGGAATAGGTATGCAGCCTTGGCAGAGTAACACTTCTTCAGGAGGCCCTATTAGAAACACAACAGAGACTCAGATTGCTGATAAGCATTTTCAAATGTTTTTATCTTCACAAGCCAAAGCCTTTTTTTCCTGTCTGTACCAACTGCTTAGTAAAACAGAACTGCATGTGCAGGAAATTATCCAAAGCTTATGGTGCAGTTTAAGAACCCTGGATGAACCTGAATCTGGTGAAGTCAGCACTGACAACAAGGTAACTTTTTTTATTATTATTTTCACATTTTTTTATTATTATGTCACTGAAGAGTTGCAGGTTGAAGAGGAATTCTGACTCAAATCTCAAGAAACCATGGGAGTGGCTACCACAGAAACAGTTGCCCAAAGACATAAATGGGTGGGAAAGAGGGAGGAGAAGATGAAGCCTGTGTTGACTGCTCCAGTCTAGAGATTGGACGAACAGCCCCTGAGGAGCTTCCTACATGTTCACAAATGGCTCAATCTATTTCTTCTTTGTCAAACAAAGAACTTTATATACAGCACAGTTAGTTGCAGGTAGGGAAGATTTTAGCCTCAAGAAATAAATGTTTAGCCCTTACCAGAAAATAAAGTCACTGAGGATTTAGCATAGACTATCTGACTGTTTGAATGGAAACACTACGAGGAGGTTAGTACAACCCCAATTTTTGTCTCTTTTCATAGTTCAGACAATTTTAATATTTGAAAATAAACCTCAGAAAAGGTACTTTACCATACCCTAATTATGGTTTGTTAATGAAATTATTTTTATTTAGCAATCTCCAGCCTCCACCTTCAGAGAGGCTGCCTGGGCAGAGATGAGCAGCAGCAAACAGACAAAGATAAATGAGTAACGTGGCAAGTTCCAGCAAAGAACAAAGCTGGGAAACAGAAAGCACAGAGGCTGTTACAGGTTTAAAGGTGCAGGGGAAGAGAAGAGGCATAGGACAGGCTGTTGGCTGCAGAATGAAATATTGAAGTATACTCTGTAATACAATAAAGTAGAGACAAGTGCTGGCAGAAAGCAGGTTACAAAAGCAGAGATGAGGGTGGCCCTACAAGGAGCCCAGGAGACAGAAAAGTTTGTAGATTTGTCAGTGATATGAAAAGTGGGTAAGAAAAATAAACCACAATCTATAAGATAACACTAGAATAGAAATTCAGATGAAGTTAAAAACATGGCTACAGCATCTGATTCAGATCTGCAAACATGTATTTAAGTCACAGTTGAACCAGAAGTCTTCCATGCAGAACAGACCAAGGAACAGCAGCGGACAGCATGACAGAAGTTGCTAAACAGTATCTTGAAGAGCACAATTCATTTTCCAATTCAACATCACTCTTCAATTTGAACCAACTGAAAAAGCATTTCACATTTCATCCTTTTCTCTACATCTGCTGCAAGCCTGATTTTAAAATGGCAGACGGTGTCTGACATCACTCTTAAAGTGTCATATTCCCATACCAGAGGTACAATTCTTGATCTACATTACAATACACTATATATATACATATATATACACACACACACACACGGTAACTTTGGAACTGGCAATAAAATAGAGGAAAAAAGGTCAAGACAAAAAAAAATCCAAAGGAGAAATAATCCACTAGCATACACAGAATAAGTGTCCCTCTCTCCTAGCCTGTTCAATTCCCTCCATCAATACTAAAAACAAACCAAAAAACCAACCTGCGCACCTATTTGTAGAGCACAAAAGGAGAACACCAAAGGTTTCTCCACAACTTCTGTAGGGGTTTGTCAATCACATTATAATATCACTGGTTTGCAAAAAGGACAGCAAATTCAGTCTGAACTCTTTAGCCACAGGACCAGCACATTCAGCTTTGTGAAAAGACAGTTTATGTGGCAGCTTGGGAAAAAAAGGGGCAGCGGCTGCTCTCCCTCTGCAGTCATCAGTGATAATGTGCTGCTGTGGCACACAGCAGTATCTAAGATACTCACACCTACTTTCCAACTTTCTCAGAAAAAGAAAGGCAAGAAGGTGACATCAGAAACCAAAGAAAAGTCAAGCACTGAAGCATCCATCCTTTACAGTTTTTCTACAGGTTTGTGTTCTCTGGCTAGCAGCTGCACAACAGGTACAGGAGTCTGTTTGTCAAGCCATTGTGTGCTATTCATTTAGATCTCCATACCTTGATTTTCAGGGGAAATACAAGTTTACTAGACATGGTATTTAAAAAAAAAAAAGTTAAAAAGGCAGCAACATCCACAAATTTCAGTTAATTGCTTTGCCTCTTACTGACTTTAAAATTTTGCACAGTGTTTCTGCAGTGAGCGTATAGCAGGACTGATCAATGTGGGACTATCTTCTGCCTTATCAGAAAGTAATACAGCGGCACAGTAGAGGACATCACAGGATATTAGTTCCCCTCATGCCTGCCATCTGAGAAGTAATAACTTTTGTTTGTCACAAGAAACCTAAACTCGGTAATATTACAGAAAGACTGAGAAGTTCACTTAAGATCACAGTACAGCTGCAGAGTTTCATAGTTTAAAAACAAATGCTCTAGAGTGAAAATGCAACAAGAACAAATAGTTCAATATCTCAGAGTGAAGTCAAATTCCTGGGAACATATTTCATTTTTTTTAAAAAAAAAAAAGGTACTGTCCTACTCTCCTGGTGCATCTGAAGCTGACAAGATATGCTGGCTTGATGATTCTTTTTTATCTGCTCATCTTACTAA